CATATCAATTTACAAAAATTGGGTTTCTTTGTTAGATTTTTCAATCATGCATATTTGATCATATCCATTGCTCCTATGACTTTCCCTCCCTCCCTCCCCTTCCCCCCTTCTCCTCCCTCCTCTTTCTCTCTTTCTCTCTTTCTTTCTTTCTTTCTTTCTTTCTTTCTTTCTTTCTTTCTTTCTTTCTTTCTTTCTTTCTTTCTTTTTCTTTCTTTCTTTCTTTCTTTTTTATTTTTTGGTAGCTGTATCAAACTCAGGACCTTGTGTTTGTGAGGCAGGTGGCAGAACCACTGAGCTAAATCCCTGGCTGTAGTGCTGATGTTTTAAAGCCTGAAGCTTCAATGTCACCAGCAGTGGTGTGAGGACCAGGGTGGGTGATGGGGCCCCTGAGGTGATGCCACAACCTCAGGTGAGTGAGGCACCAGAGAGGAGCACCCAGATTCGGAATCTGTAAACCGTTGATATGGTAATTTGAAAATGGGTTTGTATTTTGTAAACTTTTATTTGCATCAGCTTTGGTTTTCCTCATAATCCATTACTGTCTCTTATGGAAGCACTAGTCTGTGAAGGGATATAAATATAGGTGCCCCTCAGAATTGCTTCCAGTCTGGAGAATCTTCCGCCCTGAGGTTGCACTTAACGCCTTTTCTGTGGCCCTGTCTCCTCTGGCCTATGTTCCTCTGGGGTCCGCTAAGCACAGGTGCCCCTGCCCTCACCCCAGCTGGCTGCCTTCCCTGCATTCTTGCTGTGAAACAGGGGCTTGTGAGAAGGAACAAGACTTCTGCCTCCTGTGGTGTTGGAGGTCAGGCTGTGGGGTGGGGATGGCATCATGGAGAAGAAACCACCTCTGCACCCAGTCGGTCAGATACAGAAGTGCTCGGCTCGGGTGCATCTCACAGGTGGGTTGGAACAGCCCTTCCCAGAGAGCCTTCTGAAGACTCCCAGTCTCACTTTCCCATCTGACAATGAAAGGATTAGAGCAAAGAAGCTTCTCACTTCAGTACTACATCTTGCATAAGTTTAGTAAATTGGGGCCTCTGAGGGATGGAGAGTTCATGGAAGGAGAGGTGGCTTCTCTCCAGTTCTGCCCTGGCAGGAGAACATGCATGTCTGTTCTCACCCATGAGGGCAAGAGGTGCAGGTGTTGCCAGCCATGCCTTGATGGGTGGGTGTGGCTTTTTCTACCAAATGAAGGGGCTTGGATGGAAAATCTGCTAAAATTTCTTCTGAATCTGAGAATTTCTGAAATTTTCAATGGAAACAAATGAGAAAGAGAAATCAGCAGCTTCCCTTGGGCTCAGATGACCATGCCGGCTGGCAGCACTGCCCAGGTGACAGTGCTCACCAGCGACTCAGCCTGGGGACCGAGCAGCCCGGATGTGAGGGTCTTATTAGCTATGAGATGGTGCCCGTGTAGCTCTTGATTGTGCCCCTTCTTCTCCAAAAAAGGCTGCTGTGGGGAGGAAATAGAGGCACACAAGGCCACACACAGCAGCAGCACAGCGCAGCGGGGGCAGCCAGAGTATGTGGGGAAAGGAGATTGTGAGTATCTTCAGGAACCTTCTGCTTCAGTTCACTCTTGATTGGTTGTTAAGGAATAAAGGAAAGATTCCATTGCCCACAGCTAAGAGCCAATCTGTGGGATTCATCAACCCCCATCCTTCATCTTAGCTGCATTCATAGATTTTAATAACTTGCAGATGATTCACTCAAATGCAACAGTGTGGGGTCATCTTGTGTAAAGTTTAGAATAAAGGAAGGGAGAAGGAAGAAATGGAAACAGAAATGGGAACAGCTGTCAGGGAGAGAGAGAAGAGGGGACAGAAAGACAGGGACAGAGACACATACAAAGGTATACTAATGCAGGAACAGTAGAGGAAATATAACCAGGTTAACTTTTCAGTGGTTACCAGTGAAGGCTTAAAAATTCAAATAAAACGAAGGAACAAAAAGTATAATGGATAGAAAGCAATTGTAAACATTGTAGATATTAATTTAACCGCATCAAGTATCATTTTAAACATCAATGGTCTAAAAATATAGGCATTAAAACATATTTGGAGGGGATAGGGATAACAGTAATGACTCAATTATATGTTTTCTATAAGAAATTCACTTTAAATACAAAGACACACACAGATTACAAGTAAAGGGATTACACGTAAAGTAAAGTACCATGCTGAAACTCCTTGGGAAGTAGGATGGCTGTATGAATTTCAGGTCCAGAGACTTCAGGACAAGTGGCACGAGTTGGGGAAAAAGCAGATCATCACAGCGCAGTGAGGAAGAGAAGTGACCAGTTTTGCACAGTGGCTCTTGAATTGTAGAATCTTCAAAAGCTCCATCACATAAGCTGGAAAATGCTGAATAAATGGAAATGTATTTTCTAAGAAACCCAAAGGACAATGTCCCTATTCCTCTAGAACAGCTACTTGGAACAAGGGTCCTGATCTCTTCCTACCCACTTAGCAAAAAGAAGCAAGTGTTCTTCCCTTCCTGGTCCATTGTGAGCCCTGGGCACCTGCAGTCCAGGGAGCTGTGACACTGAGAAAACTGCATGCAAGAGGCGGCTGTGCTGGTGGGGCGTGGGAAGTTGTAAGGATGGTCTCAGCTCCACATCCCTTCTTGTTTATCTACACCCACTTGTGGGCCTTTGGGCCCCAGCTCCATACATTCCAGACACTGGCACAGACTGCATTTGGATGTACTGGGAACTTAACTGTCTCCGTAGGGTCTTGAACATAGCATTTGTATCTTCGAAGGTGTCCGCACACCCAGTTCTGCTCCATCTTCCCTGTGATGGACAAGGCTCTCCAGCACTGTTGGTTGGTCCTCTCTGGGAAATCATTTCCCGACAGCTGCATTTAGCACCGCAGGTCGGAGAGTCAGTTGATGCCACTCCAGGTGGCATCCTTTCAGGGCCAGATGGTTTATGGAGCTCCCAGATGCTGGCCAAGAGACATGAGTCCCACAGCTGCAGATGGCCCAGGTCTGGACTTGCCCTCTTGTTGGAGACACTGCTATACTCTGTGTAATGTGCTGGTTCTGAACACTGTAACTGCCCGAGATCCTGTGATGGGACACATTAAAATGCACAAAAGAGGGCTGGGCATTTAGCTCAGTGGTTCTGCTGCCTGCCTCACAAGCACAAGGTCCTGAGTTGGATCCCTGGTACAAAAAAAAAAAAAAAAGAATGCACACAGGATATTCAAACCACTTCTCAGCAATTCCTACTAGTTATGAGAGGCCTGAGCCCAAAGGCATTGTGGATCCCAAGGGAAGTGAGCAAGAATGATGTGGGTGGAGACAGGAACCACTGTACCAGGTTGCAAGTAAGTTTTGGGACAAGGTTGACGCAACACTAGAGTAGGTGGCACCCATCTGCACCACACTGTAAGCGGGAACATTGTCCGACAATCTTACACAAAAGGCAGGAAGGAGAACGGAAGCTAATTTTCTGCTTTTCACAAACGCTGGTGCTCTCCAGGGATCATCTGCTTCCCAGACTGAAGAGGTGCACATCACCTAAGGTAAAAGCTGTCCCTCTTTATCTCCAAAACCTGGCAAGACTCCTGATTTTCTTGCCTACCACTGAGAAAAATTAACAGAAAATGAGAAAGGTGGACAAGAGGGAGAGACAGACAGACAAGCTTCAGAACCCCAGTTTTCACCAAGCCAGACCCCGCGAGGTGGGTGGTTGACCACACCTTATTCAGCAAGGAAATGGTTCCTGTTTTCATTTGTCAGCATTAACATACCCCTCAGCAATCACTCCATTACAAGTTAGCAAGTGCTGTTTTCCCATCCTTCAGCATGGAAGCTAAAAAGTATAACATAAGAACGAAGAAGACATTTTCCTTGAATCATGCATTTCACTGAACTATGATAAAACAACAAACATACATTGAGGATTATTTAGGGTGATAACTGTTACAAAATCTGATTCCAAAAGAAGTTTCAGAAATCCCTGAGCTGATTAGAGAGATTTTAAAAAGAACTGTTTGAACCACTTCTAAATATAGTAAAGTGTGTTGTGACAGTTTACAAATGTCAGTGTCAGTATTTATAAGTATGAATCTCAATTTATAGCAAATGGGGACTTTAAGAAATATTCCAAGTTGCTGGCTCATGTCAGTGTCTGCCAATTATTAGTGCTTTAGGGGTAAACTACAGCATTTGAACAAATTGTGTTTTAAAACCTAAGTATTCAAAGATTGGACAAATTTAGAGATGATGTAACCTTTTGGCATTAGCAAGAGAAAGTCACGCTAAACTCAGTGCTGGAATTAGATTTAACCAAATGTGTTAGCAGCATGTGTTTTGGATCCGTGAGAGAGGAGGTGGGGAGCTCACGGCTGAGCTCAGGGCCCCCAGGCCCGGGGCACACGCGTCCTGAGGGGGCCCCACCATCCGCTGGGCGGGACGGGAATGCACCAGGCTTTGTACCTCCTGCAACTGTGGGGCAGCTCTGGCTGGTGCGGGGTCTGCTGTGCAGTCTGCCGTGCCTCCCCTTTGTGCCCCATCCTTCACTGAAGGAGCCTCATTTATCTCAGTTGCTGTGCAGCTGTGTCTTGTTCAGATTCCTGGGATCTGCTGAGACCCTCTCACATAGAAATTCTGGCCCTGTTCCTGGCTGAGTTGTGCCTGTTTTCCTGGGTAAGAACTCAGGGCCACAGGCAAGATGCTTCATCTTCTCATGCCTCGATTTCCTTGTCTGTAAGGTTACCTATATGATAGGGTTATTGTTTTGGGAAAGATAAAAGTGTAAGTAAGTTAAGTATATATAAAGAATTTAGCACAATGGCTTGTGTTCACAATGCCGGCCATTGTCAAAATTATCGTTTTCAATTTTTGATGGGAAAGGGAAGCTTGTTAGAGGGAACAGAGGTGCTGTAGTGCAGGAGTCTTTGTTATTTTCTCTGGGACAAAATACCTGACACTCACCATTTAAGGAAAGAGGAGCTTATTTTGGCTCACATTTCCGTCCATAGTTGGCTGGCTGCAAGGCAGGACGGCACAGCAGAGGGGCTTGCTGGAGTAGAGCTGCTGTGGCCTTGCACAAGGGGAGTGGAGGATGAAGGGAGGAGCTGGGGAGGGAGGTGACCGCTTCAGGACCACGCCCCTCGTGACCAGACTGTGACTCCTAACCGCAAGTCAGCTGTAAGCCCCCTTGTTCAGTCATCTTCCCCAAACCCCACATCTGAGCGCAAGGAGCCCTTGGGGGACTCCTAGAGAAGAACGATAACAGTAAGCGAGCTGGAGCCTCCTCCTGAACAGTAGACTGGTGTATCTGGAGACCAGCAACGTGGGTCCCTGGAGTTTCCATCTGTCACCCAGCCCATCCTCTGCTCCCTTGACCCTGGGTTTCCTACCACTGGTGGGCAGATGGACGAGAAGGCTTCCTGTGCTGGGCATCCCTTTTGTGTTCCCAGATGGAGCTAAGACCCCTGTGAGAAGAGCAAAGGTTGGTGAACACAGCTCATTGCCCAGCAAAAGGGGTGTGACAAGGGCTGAGGGCTGAAGTGGGTCAGATGGGCTCCAAGCCATTTGGGAGCTGCTGTGAGGGGAACCTGAAATATCTTCTGATTGTCCTGAGCAGCCTGGAAGTGAGACTGCCAATCACTGGCTGCCTATCAGTGTACCTGTCCGATCCTGTCGTGGCCACTTCCTGGCTGAGGTCCTGCTCCAAGCTAGGCACTGAATCCTGAATTAGCATAGGTGAGACAGAGTTGAAGACCACACTATAATGGAAGAAATAGATGTAAATATACAATTAAGATTAGATCACTGCTCTATAGGAGAAAATGTATGTAGATTACTCTGAAACCAAGAGGCAGCAACTGAGTACATGTAGCTTGTGTGGAAGGGCAGCTCATCTCTGGAGCTCGTGAGGGGGCACCTGTGGGCTCCAGAACCTTGGGGCTGCGACCTTTCCACAGGCATGGACAGTGCTGAGGGTTGAGGAAAAAAAAAAAAAAACAGAGGTAAGGTGGAAGGTGGTTTTGCATCCTAGAGCCTGGGATATTGGGTGGATGACTTGCGATCTTAAACTGTGTGGTGCTGACAGTCTGGTGGGCTTGTAAGACAAGAGGTAGAAGTTCACACTGCACACCAGACCCTTCCGTAGCCTTCTTCCCTTTGGATGACTGGAGCACCTACACTGCCATGGTGCACAGTGGCACATGGTGGCCTACAACTTGAATTACTCAACATAGGAATTGTAGAACATGGACAAATTGAGAAAAAAGGGTTGACAGGGGTCTGTGTTGATGATATATTAAGGGACTGTAAAAACCTCTAAAAGAATAATTCCAAGCATCCAATAAGAAGCTCGTTGGGCCAGGGATGGCAAGCACACATTCCAGTTTTAATTGTAAAATGTTTATATGGTACTGCAATAATACTTTGTTCATGTAAACACAGAGAAGAAAAGTTCTCATAGAAGCCAAGAGTTTTATACAGCAAATCGTTTCATGGGTGTTAACAGAAGCAAGTCTGGGATCCATGCAGGAGAAACGTACTTCCCATTGCCCAAACATAGATCATAAACTCTGCATTTTGACATCTGTGTGGCACAGAAGAGAAGGGAGTTGACCAATCCTAATACAATCCAGCTAGTTTCTCCTCATTAAATCCCTGAACCATTCTTTTACACATATCATGATTCAATTTCATCAACTATAAGAACATGGATAAAGATGCAGAAATCAGAGGAGTTTGCCACATGATTAAAATATACCCTTACTCCTGATGTGCATCCAGATTAAACAGGTGACAAAGACCTTCCACTAAATGGGAAAACAGCAGTTAATTCCCTTTCCTCGCTCTTGGCCTCTTCCTTAATTACTAGATTTTGGAGTAAGTGGTGCTAAATTTCACTTACAAAGAAGGACTATTCTCTTGTTAGATTTTGTAGGACACAGACGAAGCCCACATGTACAGTGTGTGTGTGTGTGTGTGTGTGTGAAGACTTTGCCTCAGAGCTTAAGTTGGAAACAGTGAACTTTGGAAGCACAGTTCCTCAGATACATGCTTCCTGACAGCTACAAGGAGTTTCCCAAGGAGCAACAGATCAGGTGGGGGCCGATACTTGCTGTGGCTCCTCTGTAGGCTCCACAGATAACAGGGCTGGAAGGTGCACTTGAACCCCCACAGGGCCGCGACAGTGCTGTAATGACAACGTGGCCTTCTCTCAGGTGGTGCAGAGCCAGACTCACCCATAGCAGAGAGGCATGGATGCTGGGTGCTTCATAGACAGTATCTCTTCCAGGCCTGAGGGACACTGGAAGGAGCTACTTTAGCTACAGTTGGTCTCTTTCCCCTCCACAGTGTCCTGTCCCCTGCCTGGTAGAGCTGGAGGCTCCCCTCAGAGAGTGATGTGCTCACAGATGTGGCTGACACTCACCTTTTCTGCAGACAGTTCAGTTACTGGGGACCTTCCCCACATAGACAGGGCTTCCAGAATGTTCCCCAGCCACACCCACTCATGTGGGCCTGTGACCCAAAGTGGGAGGGCCAGAGGTCAGTTCCAGAAGACAAGTTTTCTCAGGTCCAGAGGAGGTGGGCAAGACATGGGTCCAGAGGACATTCTGCAGAAAATTCTCCTGGTTTTCACACCCTAATTACATGCAGGCTTTATCTGTGTCTCTCTGAAGCAGAGGTCCTTTTCTGTCAAGGGTGTGGAGTGTGAGGAGACACAGCACACAGGAGAGGGATGTGTGGTGGGGGTATATATAGTCACACCTGAACTCACAACTGTGGGATGCAGAACATCTCAGAACCCCAGTGCCAACACGTGCTGATCTGAAATGACACTACAAATACTCTTCTCTAGGCACAGTTGAACGTTTAGGGTCCTTAATCAGTCATAATTAAAGCACATGTTACTGAGCAGTGGAAAATGAATTTTCTTTGTGTTTCTTGGTAGAAGACAATACTGACAAAGAGACAGTGCATAGTACATGGAAAGATGGCTAGTGGATATACAGAAGATGGGGGAATTTGGTTCTAATTAATTAAGATAGTATAGTGTCAGTTTTGTACTTTTTGTTTGAAGTACTTTAGAATGAATACTTGGCTGAGGCTTATTTTCACACCCTAAGTGAGTGCTTACTTTTATGATTATGTTTTAACTGCACTGCTTTGTATTCAATAGGGCTCCCTAAGCAATTCAAGTTCAAACCTGAGCTGGGCCCTGGGTCTGGTGCCCCATGAGATGTGTTAAAGGCGCTAACAGGACGCGAGGCTGTACAATGTTTATGTGTATAAACAGAGGCTTTAGCAATTTTGAAGTCCCTCGACGTGGTAAATGTAAAGCTTATAAAAGAGTTACAAAGCAGACAGCGGAGTTTCACGTTTCTGTCTTTTAAAACGCGCTGGCGCCCCCTGGTGGCAGCCTGGCTTGAGGGCGCAGCAGGTGCGTCCGGACCAAGGGGAAAACTGTGTCCGGTCCTTGGAGAGGGCAGGACCAGAGGGGCTGCCCCACGGCCAGCCCAGGGAGGAGCGGGTCTGACCTCAGGGAAGTGGGCGTTGGTCTCGTCTCCACTCTCAATGATGCGGGAGCCGTGACTAACCGCGTTGAATCTTGGTGTTTCTGTTTAGTTTGGAAAACGTCCCTTTCCAGAGGAATGCGCCAGCCCAGAGCGGTCGCACCGGTAACCCTGCTCTGCCGCCACGTGACCTGTGTCTGCAGCCCACCCCACCACCATCTCCCAGGGACAAATATTTACTCCCTCGGCACCATTACCAACCCCAGATGATACCCGGGATCCCGGCTCTGGAGCCGGAGTGTGTCCCCTCGCACAGGCCCAGGCCGTTCGGGGACACGGGCGGTGACCCCCAGGTGACCGCACCGGGACCAGGAGTCTGCTCAGCCTCCGCCCCCCATCCTCAGGCCAAGGCCGGTGATGCTGTGGCCTGGACAATGGGCGCTAGCTGCTAACCAGTGTCCCGGCACAGCCAGGCCTGGGCTCTGCCTGCCTGATTCATCGCTCCGGGAGGTGGGCAGAGAGGCTCGCCGTAAATAAATATGAAAATGCCTCTGGAAACTGTTATTTATGGTGCTCAGGAGCCGAGCCCTTGACTCGGCTGTAGTTTCCAGTAAGCAGACGATGGGAGCAGAGGCCTCCCCAGGGGTGGCCCCGGGCCGCTGTGGTCGGAGGTGGGGACACGCGGGCAGAGGCCAGGAGCTGGCCCTTGCTTGCGTCTGACCTCATGCTGGTCCTAGCCTGCCTGACGAGATTGACAGTCCTGGGCAGCCGCGCCACCGCTCTGGGTCCTCCTTAGCATCACCCACAGCGCGGGATTTCCGCAACGTGGGAGCTGTTTTCTGTTTCTCTGTATCTAGTGGAAGATTATCCCGGGAACTGTCAACAGAAATATGGGACAGAGATGGTGGCAGAGTTGGTCCTGCTGCAGCCCCTGTTGCCCCACACAGAGAAGGCTGGGCTGCAGGCCAGGGGCGGGTGGGCGTCTGGCTGCTACCAGGCTTTGTTTCTCCTCTTTTCCCTCCTTCTGTGCCTTCTTTTTTTTCTCTCTTTAAAGGCAATTTAAAATGTATGACACATAGCCAGTTGTTTACAGAAAGTAAAAATGTAAGAAGTGTATTAAAAATAATGCTTAAATGATCTTTCCACATTCCTATTAGTGAGCTTAAAACAAAACAAAAAATCAGGAAACCTTCTTGGGCATCCCAGCAGGCTTCACCCTCCTGAAAAGCAGCTGATTTAGTGGTGGCAGATGTGTAATTGGTTAATATTTTAAAAGCACCTCATGTCCAAGTCCACCTCTTACAAGACTGGAATGAAGTTTATACCTGTCAGCAAGAATTATAGCAGGAAAGTTGAGCGCAGGGAGCTGGCCTCCAAGGTGAACAAATAACAATTTCTTGCTCTGTTCACAAGTTCAGGGCAAGGCGCTTTAAAATACGATTTGGGAGTCTAACTGCTTCAAGCCTTTGTGTCTGATTACCTGGCCGTAGATATTTAAACATCTCTTCCGAGAGAAAACCTGCACTCCTGTAGCGCACAGGGGAGCAGCCTTGGCTCCTGCTAGGGTGAGGACCACAGACCCACAGAAAGCAGGCTCTGCCTCTGGAGCCTTACGTGCTTGGCTGTCCCTTAGAGAGCCACTCTCTGGGGTCCCCAGGCAGAAAAGGCTTTCACACACCTGAGACAACCCGATCCCCCTCGAGTGTCTCCGCCCCTTCGGCTGCTCCCCCAACCCTCACCAGGGTGTGCTGTACCTTCCAGGCTCAGCCTCTCTCTTGAGCCCACCCCGTCACACCCTGGCAGCTCCTGCTGGGGGAAGGGGACCCTTCATGGTACGTGTCTCCGGGGGACCCTGGGCGGGTGAGGGCTCTGCTCTCTTGTTCTGTGATCTCTGGGATTCCCGCCTCGTGACTTAGGCTCAGTGTGAGTCTGAGAAATGTGCTTTTGTGTTCGGCCATGGGCCTCAGCAGCTGCGTCTGGAGGGGACATGGCGAGTCTTAGTTTCAAGTCTAGAAAATTTTTTCCAGGCAAGAGTGACAGCACATAGGGAGTGAAACAGGCCCCAACTCTGCCCAGCGACTCTTCTTCTTGAGAGCCTCTGCCTAGAGGACTCTGCTCTTCCTTCGCTGCTGGCTGTGTTGCCCTAGTCTGTCTCAGAGACTGTCTCTCCTTCGTGGGGTGGCAGATATTTAAATTCCGCTGCCCTACACACCACACTGAATTCCTTTCTGTAATAACTGTATGATTAGAGGGGACTTAAATATACTGACATGGAACAGGGATTTAGCTCAGTGGTTCCGCTGCCTGTCTCGCAAGCACAAGGTTCCGAGTTCGATCCCCTGTACTAAATTAAAATAAATAAATAAATAAATAGACTGACTAGCATAGCTCACTCAAGTTATAATTTTCTAAAATGCCTGGCTACCTGTTAAGCCCATTTGAGAATTACTGTAAAAATTTAAAAATAACACACATAACTATTGTGCATGCATAAAGTGAAAGATTTTGTAGGTGAATGACTACGCCTTTGTTCATTTGAATCCCGTAGTACCTTGTTCCTGTTTGAGAGCCAGTGACATTGTCCTCAAACCTCAAACGTGTTCCTAAATGCAGGAAAGCTCGTGGGAGTACAGGAATTGCAGTGCAATAGCACCTGACCACTCACTGGCTGTTCAGCCTGTGTGGAAGGCGAACCAAGCCCCTGGGGTGCACATTGCTAACCATCTGCACCCCTCGTCCTACAGAAGACTGCAGCTGGGGTTGCTCCCAGGCTCCCTGGTGATGGGGAGACTACTCTGGCCTCAGGGGCCCCGATACAAGCCAGGGGCTCTGAAGAGGCTGCAGGAGACCCCGTATTAGCTGAGGACCAGGGCTGCAGAGTCAGCTGGGGTGCTTGGCCCTGACCCGAGGTGCAGAGCAGCTCCGAGGCTGGAGATGCTAGGAATGCTCCCTGGAGTCCCCAAGAGCAGTGTGGTCCTGCTACTCCTGGACTCTGACTTTGTGACCTCTGGAACTGTCAGAAAATCAGGTGGTGTGGTTTGTAAGTCAGCCTTGTGAAGATCAGTGGCGGCAGAAATAGACAACTGCTACAATGCAACCCCAAGGACTATGATCGTCTATTCCTAAGAACTCAGGTTAGAATACAGGCCTTGAAAGGCTGAGTGCCAGCTCTACTGAGACCCCTTGGACTAGGGAAGCGCCAACATGATGGGAATGGTGCTAGCCTCCACCTGTTTGGAGGCAAGGGTAGAGCCCATGGATTTGGGGCCCAGGGTTTGTGGGGCCACAGTGCTGGATGAGGAGGTTCACCAAGATCATCTTTCAACAGACAGGAAGCTAAGGTATCCAGGGCCACGGATTCACATGGCCTTACCATCAGGGAAATGGAAGTGATCATAAACCCAAGAGGGCCACTGAAAAGAGAAACTGAATGTGTGCTGTGACCGTGAAAACTTAATATTGATTATCACCATCCTAGGGGCTTGCTGATCTAACCTGACCATCCAGGTTCCAGGTTTTAGACACTGTGCTTCAGATCTTCATTTGACTACAAACATAGTTTCTATAATCACATAGTCTATGTTCTGGCTCCAAAATTTGTAGCTTTCTTCTTTCATATCCATAAAAAGAAGAAAAGGAGGAGCTCCCGAAAAGAATGCCTGAAAGCACTTTATTTCTATAATTTGAGTTATGACTTTTTCAGTCAGTTTCCCCAGAAATTGACTCTAGCTATTTAAAAGTGTGTCAGATTCAGTGAAAACAACTATCCTCAATAATCCAGGCTAGACTTTGCCCATTGGTTGCTGAGCTCCTGGGGACCAGGCCGGTTCCCTTCTTCCTTTTGGGGCCCGATGCTGTCCCTGGGAGGGAGGCTGTGTCACCAGCCGACTCTCCCACACTGCCCAGGGCACTTGGGTTATCTCAGCAAATGTCCACTGTTCATCCACCACACAACGTTGTCC